TGCCAACTGCACGGCAGCCTGGGCAACAGAGCAAGACCCTGTCTCTAAAGAATAAAAACAAAAGCCCACAGGATAAATATTAGGGAGGCTGTGGATGACCAGGAGGCAGCCTATAATGCAGCCACTTCACTGCTTCATTGGTTTCCAAAGAAGCCCCATATGTCCCTACTCCTCGTTGGTTCATCTTGTTCTTCTAACCCCGCCTTTTGAAATCCTACCTTCTTTAAAAGCTCAGTTCAAATGTCACTTTGTCCATGCAGAGTGCCTAACAGTGTCTGACCCATGGGCAAACTCCCTTTCTTCCTTCCATCCTTCCCTCCTTCCTGGGTTTTCTCTCACTTCTAGGGAATTTACAGTTCTTGGTGCATTCTGCCTTGTCTCACAGGGACATGCGCCTCTCCCAACAAAGCATGCTGCCCTTGAGAATAGGCCCGGCTCAGTCCTCAGCAACCTCACAGTGCCTGGCACGCAATAACATTCAGTGAAGAGTGAGCAAAAGCAGCATTTTAAAAGAACTATGCATGCAACTGTCTGCAGGATGGATGGACATTGCATGACAGGTAAGAAGGAAACCCACTGTGATTCAGTTTTGAGTCGTGAGGTCTTTACAGAGCTTTGAGGTTTTCACAATAACCAGCATGAATACACGTGTGTCTGCTGGTACTCAAGGGGCCCCACCCTCACGCATCCACAACTGTGGTTAGCTTTAACTTCTCTTCGTGTCCACAATAATCAATATAGCCCGCGGAGCAGGAGAAATGCTGAATACACTCAGAGTCAACCTTTGGAAGATGTCACAGACAGCCACATTTGGACAAATCTCCATTTTAGGGAACAGAGATCATACGTTTGACCACTCTCATTGAGATAGCAAGTAAGAATACTAGTATACCAGAGACCAGGCCCCAGTTTAGTGGTTTGTGTCTGTGGGGCTAGGTGTCCTGCGACCAGGATGGTGGTGAGAGACCAGATGGGGTGAGAGACACCCCTTCTCAACATGGGTTCCCATCCCCCATGCTCCTGGAATGGACTTATTCTGCTGTGAAAGCTGAACACTCTGATGGAATGAGGAAATGTTTCTGATGTGTCTCATCTGATGATGGCTTCACTGGGGCCAACTGCGAGTGCTCAAACCCCAGAGCATTTTACTGTTTTTAGGGCCACAGAGTACTATTTAATACAATAATAGGAATAACAAGGAGGAGAATGACTCTAGATTAGTTATGGAAAATTTCCCCCAACCCTCTCCCCACTTGAGCTTCTGAGTAGCCTGGCACTGGCTGGCAATCATGACACGTGTTTGCTCCAAAACCACAGGGCTTCCTGTTGTGCTGAGGTCCTCTGGGCCAGCCTTGCAGGACTTGGAGCCCAAGGCTTCTAATTCTCAGACCAATGCTCTTACTATCTAAAGAGCACTACCCCCCAGAAATTAGGAATAATCATTGCAATCTCTCCAGCCATCACTGACCAAGAAAGAACAGAATAGAAATGGGTGAGGAGGGCCAGGAGCAGAGGCTCACACCTGTAATCCTAGCACTCTGGGAGGCCAAGGAAGAAGGATCCCTTGAGCTCAGGAGTTCAAGATCAGCCTGAGCAAGAGGGAGACGCCCAGTCTTTACTAAAAATAGAAAAATTAGCCGGGCATGGTGGCGCATGCCTGTAGTCCCAGCTACTCGGGAGGCTGAGGCAGGAGGATCGCTTGAGCCTAGGAGTTTGAGGTTGCAGTGAGCTAGGATGATGCCACGGCACTCTAACCAGGGAAACAGCAGAGATTCTGTCTCAAAGAAGAGGAGAGGAAAGGAGAGAAAAAAGAAAAGCAAAGAAAAGGAAAGGGTGAGGAGATAAGGTCACTCATCCATCCTCTCACCCCCACACGCAGAACCATTTTGGGTGCCCTCACTCCCCATCTCCCCTGTGCGCCACCCCCTCACTCCTGGCTCCTTGACAGCTCCCTGCCCTTCTTCCCCTTTAGCCTGGAGCAGCTCTGTTCTCTTTCCTACCCCTAATTGAAACCTACTCTCGAAAAAAGACATGGTACATCTTTCTTTTTTCTTTCTTTTTTTAGAGACAGAATCTTGCTCTGTCACCCAGGCTGGAGTGCCGTGGCATCAGCCTAGCTCACTGCAACTTCAAACTCCTGGGCTCAAGCGATCCTCCCACCTCAGCCTCCCAAACCACCACACCAGGCCCACTTGGCACCTCTCTTTATACTTGAGGGCACATCCTGTCCTTTTATCTTCTAGTTATTCTATTATCAGTCCTATCTTTATTATGAATTACCGAGCAAAAAATCTTTGTCTCTTAAGGTAAAGAAAACAATTTTAAGGGGTGGTTTTTCTCAGCCCTCTCAGCACCTTAGTCTACTAATACCAAAAAAAAAAAAAAAGAACAAAAAAGGAAGAGGAAAAGGAGAAAGAAGCAGGGGAGGAGCTGTAGGAGAGAAAGGAGACAAAAGTCCACAGTGGGGGTGGAGGAAAGAGGGGTAGGAAGACCTCTGACTGTTAAAAACCCACTCTGTGGTTTTCAAAGACCAAATGTAACAGTCTTGAAGGCATGAGCAATGACGAAAGTGAGGAGATGGGGTTTTAACAAGACCAAAGAACAATTTGAGGGCCGAGAGCTCATTCAACGTGAGCCCCCAGTCTGAGAGCAAGAAAGAACTTCTGTCCTGAGGTAAAGAGGCATATTGGGGACTTGGGGACTGGGAAGAGGATGAGACAGTTGACAGAACCGCTTAGGTGAGGACAGGTCTCGAGTGTAGTGATGTGATCACAGCTCACCGCAGCCTGGAACTCCTGGGTTCAAGTGATCCTCCTACCTCAGCCTCCTGAGCGAGTAGCTGGGGCTACAGTGCACCACCATGTCTGGCTGAAACTTGCTTCTTGAAGGGAAATGTCCTCTGCCCTCAGGAGCCTGGGGAAGAGAAGACTACTTGTGCCAGCCAGGCTGGCATGCTCACTCTTCTTCCACGGGCTTTCAGGGATCCTGGCCCCATTGTGACATTCCTCAAATGGGAAAGAGCCACTCTGTGTTCACGAGAGGGAAATCCAGGTGAGTACCTGAAAGGAGCTTTACCTGACAGAGCCTCAATCCCTTGTGCTGTTCGAAATCCTCTTACCTTATTTTGTTCAGTGCCCCAGTGGGGGCAGGGTGGGGGAGTGAAAGACAAAGGGTCATTTTTACAAATAAAAAAAAGAATTACTGGAGGAAAGTCACCAAGGTTTGGATCAATCCCCTGCTGGAGCCTGCAAGGCTTGAGCTGGTTCAAGCCCCTGGGCTCCACGCAGCTTGGAGCAGGCCCTGGGAGGCACTTCTGAGGGAAGTTCGCATCCCAGGTGGTACCCTCTGGGGGTGACACAAACAAGGGAGGCTTCTAGCCACTGGTGTGTTTTTGGCAGAGTAAACCTGGAAATTCTAGAGTGAAAAAGTGGTTTAGAGATCACTTTCCCCAAGTACCGGAGTTATGCACCTCAGTGGAAGACCTTTAGTTTAAGAATCAGGAGACCTAGCTGCCTCAGTTTTTCTACCTGCAAAATGAGGAGCCTGGTGTGCAGGAGTTCTTAACACGTGTCCACGGACTTCCAAGAGGTCCATGAGTAGATTCATTCACGGGATTTGTGAATTTGGGGGAGAAATACATATTTATTTTCACCAATCTTTAATTGAAAGTTAGCATTTGCTTCAATCATGAATGTAGGCAATGAACTACAGTAGAATTTGCCATCAGTAGAAATCACAGATATTTTTAAATCTCATTACAGTTGTTACAGATTTCTCCACATGTCATTTACCCTCATCACTACTACGAAATTACCATAGTTATTGGGCCGATGCTAGATCTAAAGAAGCTACTACTCCATCACACGTTCTTCTAATGTTTTGACAACTGCCTTGTTATAATTTGTTTTCTTTGTCAGCCTAGGGATTTTAATTTTTAAATGTTATTCTGAGAAGGGGCTCCACATGCTTTTCTCTGGGCATCTTTTTCAGTTCTGTGGGAGATCTATAGAGAGAGGAATTGGCTGGGCGCGGTGGCTCACGCCTGTAATCCCAGCACTCTGGGAGGCCGAGGCGGGCGGATTGTTTGAGCTCAGGAGTTCGAGACCAGCCTGAGCAAGAGCGAGACCCCGTCTCTACCAAAAAAATAGAAATTAGCTGAACAACTAAAAATATATAGAAAAAATTAGCCGGGCATGGTGGCGCATGCCTGTAGTCCCAGCTAGTCGGGAGGCTGAGGCAGTAGGATCACTTGAGCCCAGGAGTTTGAGGTTGCTGTGAGCTAGGCTGACGCCAGGGCAACAGAGCTAGACTCTGTCTCAAAAAAAAAAAAAAAAAAAAAAACTACGTATATAGAGAGGAAATTGCGGAGCTAAAGCGGACCTTTCAGCTCCTCTGAGAGGTTAGATTTGGGCTTTGGTGGCAGATAATGGAGTCTCTTCCTTACAATCTTGTCCCCACAGCGATAGTCACTCCCCAGAAAACCCTGGGCAAAGCTTTATGTGTCATTTAACCATCACAACATTCCCATGCGGTAGCGTTAAACACAAGAGGAATGTGAGGCTGAGCGAGGTCAAGTAACGTGCGAGATCACGGGAAGCTTGGATTTGAAGGCAGGAGTCCACGCAGTTCCAGGACCACCCGACGAGGGAGCCTCCGACTTAAAGAGCGGGGAGAGGAGGGCGCTGGCCGCCGTGCGCAATCTCTTACCCAGCCGCCTCCCCAGCCTGAGAGTCCACGGCCCCGGGCGGCCAACGCAGGTTAGGAGCCCCAGGGGAAGACTCAAGTGAGGACGCCAGCTTGATCTGCACTCTCATCCCTGCCCGCTCAGGGACTCACCACGTTTTATCCGGGAGGGGAGACCTGCCCCTGGCTTACGGTGGGCCCAGAAAGTTCCAGACTTCCCACTTCCAGCCCTCTCCCCGCTGTTAAGGGTCACTTGCTGCTCTGGTACAGCCTGCGTCTCCAGGACCCACCAGACCCAACCTTACACACCCCATGCCATTTCCACCCCTAGTTTAGGCTTTCCCTGGCTAGCGGCACACGGGGCGGAAGGCTAGACGGACGAACTGCGGGAGCGACTAGAAGGTCACCTCCGACTGCAGCTGGAAGGCAGCGCCCTCTAGCGGTCGGAGTGCAGAGTCAGCGGCGCCAGCTCCGCGGTGTGCCTGCCGCACACTAAGGTGCTCCCCATCCCGGGCACCAAGGTCACTTCTTCCAAGAGCATCTTTGCCCCATGGTCCCCGCCGGCCCCCAGCCGTGATGAAGGGCCCACGACAGACTTACACGCTGTGTTCCAGCTCGGCGCTAGGCACCGCGAAGCCTGACCACTCTCGTGGAGTGACTGGCTGCATCATCAGCACCTCCAAGCTGGTCAGCCTGTCTGCCACTCTCTTCTTGAAAGCTGTCCCTACCCCGCACCCCTCCCATCCCGCTGCACCAGTCCCTCAGGAAACACGCCTAGAGAAGGGCTACGCGACCTTCTCAACATTCATAACTACCTAGTGCAGAGCCAGGACTGAAAGCTACATCTCCCCAGCCCATTTCCCACCTTAATTCACCCACTGTGTCCTTCAGCACCAGCTCCCCAAAGACGGCAAACATCTGTCTAGGCCCAACTCCACAGCCATCTTGCAGCCTTTCCAGAGCCCTCATTCAGAATTTCTCCTTTCCTATTGCTTGATATGCTTTATGACCTTATTGTCCTTAGTACAGTCCTCCTTGTGTTGCAGCTGTTCGCGAATGGATGGGTGGCTGTGAGTAGAGGGACAAAGCGAACTCCAAGAGCAGGATTCTCATAACCTGGGTTAGAATCCTAGCTCCCCCGCTTAAAACCTATGATTCTGGCCGCCCCGGTTGTAATCCTAGCACTCTGGGAGGCCGAGGCAGGAGGATCCCTTGAGCTCAGGAGTTTGAGACCAGCCTGAGCAACAGCGAGATCCCGTCTCTACTAAAAATAGCAAAATTAGGTAGGTGTAGTGGCCCGCACCTGTTGTCCCAGCTACTTGGGAGGCTGAGGCAGGAGGATGGCGTTAGCCTTAGGAGTTTGAAGTTGTACTGAGCTATGATGGCACTACTGCACTCTAGCCCTGGAAACAGAGAAAAAAAAAAAAAGCTGTGATTCTAAGCCAGTAGCAAGTCCTCTCCAAGCCTCTGTAAGCTTAGCACAAATGACAAATTAAAAATAATAATAGCTTAGTGTTTTCTAAGAACTAAACACAATCATATATGTGGCTGCACCTGGGACACTGTAAATTGCCTCCAATATAAGGGACCATAAAAATAATCGTGGCTAACATTTATTGAGGCCTGACTCTATGCCAGCCACTACACTAAGTAGTTTACATAGGTTACCTCATTTAACCTTCACAACAACCCTGGAAAGAGGATATTATTATCACCATTTTAAAGATCAATAAACTCAACTTCAGAGAAGTTAAGAAACTTGCCCAATATTACACAGCTAGTAAGTGCCAAAGCCAGATTTCAAACCTGTTGGTCTGACTCGAGACAGCATTTAACTACCCAAATAGTCTACCTCTGCTGTTTTAGTAATCTCTCTGTGTCCCCTGGTGTCTCACACATAATGGATGCTCAGTAAGTATTTGCCAAATGTCCAAATGTGTCCATTTATTAAGGGCTGAGCATAGTGTCTGGCCCAGAAGCCTAAGAGACTTGTCCAAGTCACACAACTATTGAGTTCTAGGACCAAGATTTCAACACAAACACTCAGGCTCTAAAGTCTGTGCTTTTTAACCATGACCCTGGGCTGAATGAATAATTGCAATCCTTCATCTTCCTCTTCAAATCAAATGAGGCTTTGTAGCTAGACACAAACCATGTCATAAATGCTCAATATTTTGTTTCAAGGGTCACCAGGACATTGTGGTAGAGACATGTGATAACAGGAGAGGAGACAAGAGGTCAAGGCTAGGGATTGACATTGAGGCCATACCGATGGGCTGCTGCTGGGGTTTTTTATTAGAATTGTGACAAATTTATAGATAAATATAGGGAAAATTAACATTTGCCTCTACTTAGATTTTCTTTTATGTTCCTTAATAGTATTTTGTAGTTTTTATCCTATAGATCCTATTAGGAATCTTCTTACATTCTCTCTGGGCATTTTATGGGGTTTTTTTGGTTGTTATTGCTATTATGAGTAGGTTTTTTCTTCTATCATATTTTCTGACTAAAAATTATATCTAGGAAAATTAATTTTATGTATTCATTTTATAAGTGAATGTTAAATTTTAATTATTATATATTAGTTATATACCTGAATTTAATTGACTTATTATTTTATGCAAATTTTAATTATATAACATTCTAGTCTATGGATATGCCATAATTTATTCAACTATTCTCTTACCAATGAGTCTTCACCTATTCCTAATTTTCTGGTGTTACAAACAATGCTGCAGTGAATATCCTTGTATAAATATTCTAGCACACTAATGCTTTTATTTCTGTAAGATAGAGCCAAAGGTAGAGTGTATGTGCATTTTAAATATTAATATATAATGAGGCTGTGCACAGTGGCTCTTGCCTGTAATCCCAGCACTTTGGGAGGCTGAGGTGGGAGGATTGCTTGAGGCCAAGAGTTTGAGACCAGCCTGGGCAACATAGCAAGCCCCTGTCTCTAAAAAAAAAAAAAAAAATTAGCTGAGCATGGTGGCACATGCCTATAGTCCTAGGTACTTGGGAGGCTGAGACAGGAGGATTGCTTGATTCTGAGAGTTTAAGGTTGCGTTGAGCTATGACTGCACCACTGCATTCCAACCTGGACAAGAGAATGAGGCCCTGTCTCTTAAAAAAATATACACAGACACACACAAACACACACACGTATGTACAACATATGCACACATAAAATGAGTATTTATTTCCTCAAAGCACTATAACAATGTATATTTCTATCTAGAGTGAATGATTGTGCCTATTTCCTCTTATCCTAACCAGAATTGGATTTATCAATCTTTTAAATGTTTGTTCATCTAATAGGTAGCAATTCTGAAATTCTGAACTCTGAATTTTTTATTTTAATTTGCACT